GCTAAGGGCTTCCATCAACAAGAAGGTCTGGGATTTTAAGAAACCTTTAGTCCAGTTGCAAAGCCAATGACAATCAGAATTCTTCTCTGGTTGGCAATCCAATACAATTGGTTTCTTAACCAGTTAGACATCAGCAATGTTTTCCTACATAGAGATCTCAAAGAGGATGTTTTTATGCATTAACCACCTGGTTTCTGTTATTCAAACCTTCATAATCATGTGTGCAAGCTCAGAAAGTCACTTATGGGTTCAAACAAGCTCACAAAGCTTGGTTTGGCAAGCTTTTTCAAGCTCTGCAATCTTTTGGATTCCCACAATCTACCTCTGATGCCTCACTATTTGTTCTCAAAGCCTCTATTGCAGTTATTGTTTTGGTGTATGTAGATGACATATTGGTAACAGGACCTAATCCTCCTCTCTGTCAACATTTCATTCAAAAATCAAGTAAAGTCTTCCATGTCAAAGACTTAGGCCTTCTGTAATATTTCTTGGGTTTTAAGGTTCTAAGATCTTCAGAAGGTATTTTTCTTCATCAAAGCAAGAATCTTCTTAATTTGCTTAAAAAGACTAACATGGAAGGTGCAAAACCATGTTCAACTCCATTGAGTACTCAAAAGCTTGATCACACTAGTCCACTCTTTTCTAATGCTACTGACTACATATCAATTGTTAGAGCCTTACAATATCTAACTTGGACCAGACCTGACTTATCATTTGTTGTCAATCAAGTCTGCCAATTCATGCATGCTCTAACGGAACTTCACCTCCAAGCTGCTAAAAGAATCCTAAGGTTTCTTAAAGGGTCAATTACAGATGGTTTGAGGTTCAAGAAAGGTGTTATTAATCTCGCTACATATTCTGATGCAGATTGGGCAGGATGTACTTTTGACAGAAGATCTACTAGTGGATATTGCACTTTTTAGGTTCTAATCACATTAGTTGGTGCTAAGAAGCAACCAACTGTTGCTAGATCTTCCACAGAGGCGGAGTATCGTTCTTTAGCTCACATTGTACATAGAACATACTTGGATATGCAAAGTTTTTAAAGATATTGGCCTTTCTCTGTCTACAGTTCCAAAAGTCTAGTGTGACCATATTTCTGCCATATCACTTGCTTCTAATCCTGTTTTCCATGCAAGACTAAGCATGTTGAAATAGATTATCATTACATCAGAGAATTAGTTCTTACCAATCTCATTAAAGTCCAATATGTCTACAGTGTAGATTAGTTAGCTGACATTCATACCAAGTCCTTCTCTAAACACAAGTTTTTGTATCTACAATCCAAGCTATCTCTTGGACCTTTTGATGCTACCAAGTTCAGCTTAAGGGGTGTAAAGAGACTAAAATTAGTTATTTTCATTGTGTAACTGTAAAAATTAGTTTGTTAAATTGACCTTGTAATTAGTTGGATCGGTTAAGGGTATTTTTGTAATTGTAATGATTGGTACAAAGCTATATGCACCAAAGTGATAGGAGCATATTTACGCACCTTAGTTTAGCGTGTTCTTGTGCATTTATAGTGTTTTTCCGTAGTAAAGTAGTCTTTTAAGCTAGTTCTATGTGTTTTCAGGTTTAAAGGGCAAAGTATGCAAAAGGATGCATTTTGGAGCCTTTTGGAGCAAATTAGAGCTTGGAATGGACATCATATGCTTGGAGCCAAGAGGATGGACGAAATTGAAGATTTGAAGATGGTGTTTCCTACTTGAACAAGGTTTCCTAGTCGAAGTAGGAAAGCGCCTAATTAAAAGATGAAATCCTAGTCCACAAAGGATTCTTAATTGAAGAAGGATTCCTAATCAACGAGGGATTCCTAGTTGAAGATGGATTCCTAGAAGAATGAAGATTCCTACTCAAATAAGGTTTCCTACTTGATGAAGGAAAGTCAAAATCCAAATGGTCTCAAGTGAAGCAACAAAGAAGTTTTCCAAGTCCAAGAAGGAAAAGGAGTCCAAGATGAAGAAGGAATGACCAAGACAAGGTTTCCTAATCCAAATAGGCAAAGTTTCCAAGTGCAATGAGGAGTCCTTATCCATTTAGGGCACTTTATCCATTTAGGATACCTTATCCTTGTTCTAGAAACCTTATCCATCCTTGCAGTGAGTTTCCTTGCATTAGAGGGTTTCTAGAAGCCCTAATCTGCCCTATCCTTTAGTGCCGCACCTATCCCTTCTAGAAAGCTGATTTCCCTTGCCTTGCAAGGCATTCTAGAAGCCTTATCACCTTATCTCCTTACCTGCCGCACCTAGGAAGCATTATCACTTTTTATTTCTAATTTCTAAGCCTATTTCCTGGTGGATTTGGGTTATTCAAGTCCATATCTGATTACCCTAGGGTTTTAAGTGCCTATATATACTCATATTAACCCCTAGATCAGACCACCACCTCTCATACACATTCATTCATTCCAGAAATTCGTCCAACCCTCTCCACACCCTTGCCGCAACCACCAAACACCTTTCTCCTTAGTTTTAAGCCTTGCCGCACCATCCCCTTCCCCTAAACACTACTACATCCCTCCATAACCATGCATCCATACACCTAAGGCCCTAAACCTGTCCCTAGACCTTTGCCGCACCAAGGAGGAGGAGAAGGAAGCTCAGAAGTTCATGCAATTCGAGTTCGCGTCGCTGGAATTTCTAGGTGTTTCTTTTCCTTTGATTTCAATGTTTAATTTCAATTCTCTTTGTTTTGTGCGTATGAGAAACTAAACCCCCCCCCCTTGGCTAGGGGGGGGATTCGAAACACATGTTTATGCTTGCAATATGATTTGATTACTTCTAATTGCGTTTCATAAGTTGTGAATTCAATTTACTTATCTATGTGAATTACATTGATTTGTATGTGTTGGTTGAGAGTGCACGCTTAATTATCATGCATAAATTGGATGCTAGGATATAAGGAAATTTCACCTAATTGTTATGGAATTATATTCACAAGTAGTAAAGGTTGATGATCTCAATCGCGTTAAGTAAATTCTTGGCATAAGTTTCATGCAATCATAGTAACAAGTGCTTCGTCAATGCTTATGGTTTTCATAGAACTTAATGATTCTTGCTTGTATCTCTATTATGCAATCATGTAGGGGACTTGTGGGGAATGTTTTGGGTTGTCGTATGCAATCATCCAATTCAATAACGTTAGGAAAATCTGAGGGTTAATTAGTGCAATTCACGGTTAATCTGGGGCGTTGAGAATTCATGGTTTATTGAAAAGCAATTAGAAATCGTTTTGTGTGCAAGTATAACATGTGTGGAGATGAACCCCTTAGCTAGCTTCCCATCCATTCAATTCCATCAAATTCGTTTTTACAATCTGTTCTAATTCAAAAAGTTTGTTTTGTTTTTAAATTCGTCCAAAACCAATCCCCCTTTACTTTGTTGAGTCATAGTAGTTAGAAATCACTTTAGTTTGTGTTTTTAAGTGTCTTAGGTCAAGTTAAAACCAATTTTCGTCCAAAGTTGTGTCTAGTGTTCAAAACTGCCCAGATTGTGTTTTTAAGGCAGTTTTGAGTGTTTTGGTGCTGTTTTGAGTCTTTTGGTTTGTTTTGGTGTTTTTAAGTTTAGTTTTGCATTCTTTGAGTCTAGTATAGTGTTTTAAACTTGTTTTTACGTATTTGAGTCAGTTTTCAAGTGATTAACAATCCCTCCTAATCCCCGGTCCAGAACGATCCCTACTTACATTCTTCACTACAATTGATAAAAAGAGGGTTTAATTTGTGTGCGTATAATTCTCACATCACAAAGATACATTGTAATTAAAGTGTGTAATGAAATGAAGAGGAGTGTCCAGTACAACAAATTCTCTCAATGTTCTTGAGTTTCTACAATTGTCGTTGTCCCTCTAATTCACACAGTCATTCACTCAAGAGATTTCAGTCTTTCTCGAACATGGGTAGGTATACCACAGGTCATAATACAAGTGAATGGCAATTTTTTTTTTTCAAGTATCTCTCCACTTGTATCATAACACGTGGTATATCAATCCATGTTCCGAGTACAATGAAAAAAAAAAATTTCACTCACTGACGACTGACGAGTGTTGCTAGTTTTGAGTCAATTGGAGTAGGATGGTGGTTACTTGTTAGAAGTGATGAGTTATTTCGTAACTTTGTCAAGCATGCACGTGGGCTGATGATCCAAAAAATCTCTCTACTGCTTTAATCGATTTCAATTGGCAACTTTGTCACGTCTGTAACAGAAAGAGAGCACACAAGAGACAATTGTAAATGTTTTGATATCTTGATTTAGACAATTGTGAAACATGTGATACAAAATTATTACAAGAAAAACGTATAAGAATCTAAAGGTATACACATATGTGGCTTTCTCGTAGTGGAGATATTGTTTCTACAATACATTTATTATCTATTACACTCAGTATAATGTAGCATCGGAGTCAAATCCCATGTTTTAATGTAGAAGTTAACTAAGATATTATTGATGTCATGTTGGACCATTCTATAGCTTAATTATCTCCTTTTATCATTGCTAATAGCAACTTCCTTTTAAATAAAAAAAGTTGGTGCGTAAAATGGGATGTTTGGAAGTGCTTTTAAAAAAACAAGCACTTTTAAATCACCTGAAGTGTTTCTAACCATGTTTTGTCAGAAAAAAAGTAGAAGTGCTTATAGGTGGAAAAAATTACTTTGAAATGCTTCTTGAAAAAAGTTGTGTGCTTTTTTTACAAAGCACTTCAAGTGTTTTTTCAAAAAACCATGTGCTTTTTTTGAGGAAGTATTTTGCAATTTTAAACAATTTCAATTTGCTTCTAATAGAAGCGGTTTTACTGAAAGGAAACAGTTACAAACGAATCTAAAATAATATTCCTATATTTACCCCTTATATTTATGTATTCAATTTCACAAAAACACCAATGATATAAATGGGTAATCGGCCCAATCCTACAATCAGTACAAGTGGGCTTGGACTTCCAATTTTTAGACAGCCCAAACTACAAACCAAGATAAAAACAAAAACAAAAAAATAAAAATATTTTGGATAATTCTACAATCTACTGGCAGAGTGAGCAAAGCAGAGCCCTTCTTCTTTACACGGAGGGAAAAAGAGAGAGGGAGACCGAGTTCCATTTCAATGGCAGTTTCTTCCATGTCTTCAATCCTAATTCCTTCACTTCCTCTCTCCAATTCTTCTGCATTTCCGACTTCCAAGCCAAAGCTTTCTTCTTTCGCTTTGCCCTCGGCCAACAATGCCTTAAAGCTCAGAGCTTCAAGACCCTCACAGTCATCCACTAGGGTTTTTGCCGCTCCTGAAGTCTTGGAGTCCCAGGAAACCCTAATCCCACCTCCAGAAACCCTCGAGGTTTATTTTTCTTGCCCATTTGTTTTTGTTTCATTTTTCTTTTAATTTACAATTTGCCAATGCTGTGTTTTGACTGCTGAGAAAATGTGGGAAAAGGAGAATAATTTTCCCTAATTTTTTATTTCTGTTTTAAAATGTTGATATTGTAGTAGTGGGTTTTTGTTTTAATTTGCTTAATTTTTATGCAGTTATATTTCTGCAATTTTTTTCCCATTTCTTAAATGTTTGTTATCTGCGTGTGTTTAAGGTTGGAAGTTCTGAGACCCCGAGTACTTCATCACTCAGTATTGGTGGAGATGGAGATAAGGTATATTATTACTGACGTATTAATGTTTCATAGAAGGGGGAAAATCTGAATTGTGGAATTTTAATAGTTTTATAATTTGAACTGAGGAAGATTGACTTAACATTTTTATTTTGATTAATTTTTGGAAATTTAACTTAAGTTCGTTACTTCGATCTATTAAGGGTTTGCAAGTTCACTGAGGTGTGAATATATTCTTCCATTAGTGGAGTTTTGGTGTAATATTAAATCTAGTCCAATTGGATGAAGTGATGCAGAATGAAGATATGGTATATTGATGTCAAGTTAGACACTTAGAAGCTTAGTGTCAAATCTTTTTATTAAGTTATTGGGGGGTATCTACCCATGCGTAAATGCAAAACCTCGGACTAGATTTGTCGTTGGCGCTGGTATGTCAAATGTAAATGCAAAACAACCAATTGTTTAATTTTACCTTGATCTTTTGTTTGAGTGGTCTATGACTTTCTTGTTGTCTGGTATGACCTAGGTTCCTGATTGAACTTTTGAGTACTTGGTGCTTTATGCTTCAGATCTGTATTTTTGTAATGATCTTTTCCAAAGTCTGTTAACTGTGCCATCACAGATGGTAGAGCTTTGTCCTATTTCTTACAATTTTTATTTAATCCTGACCCGGGATTGAACCTCTTTTAGTTATGAAAAGGGTATGCAGATTCTGCTGTTTAATTAATGTATAAAACAGTAAGATTGTGGAGGGACATTTACCAATTCGTAACCTTTCAACAGCCTCCAACATAGTAAGAACGTTGGCTAGTGGCAAATGGATCCCCATATTTGATTCCCTATTGATTTGATGAACACGGGGTTCATCGTGGCCTGGGGCTATTTGGCTAAAATGATTTATTACTCATGTATCTGGGACAATTTGGAATGGCAGAAAGTAACTAAGTGGCTGAGGACCAGCTAGATTACTGCTGTCAGTGCTAGTCTTGATTTGTCAAATCATACTTTAAATTGTCAAACTTAAAGAAGAAAGGTCTAATTTATTAATTTGTTTCCCACAATTGTTTTAACAGCTTCACATGTATTCTGATTATCTAAAGGTGTTTCTGTTTTCAGGCCTCACCCAAGCAGAAAATCAGGATTAAACTGAGGTCTTACTTTGTGCCATTGATAGAAGATTCCTGCAAGCAGATAATGGATGCTGCTAGGAACACGAATGCGAAAACAATGGGTCCTGTACCCTTGCCAACTAAAAAGCGAATCTACTGTGTTCTCAAATCTCCCCATGTCCACAAGGATGCAAGGTTCCATTTTGAGATTCGTACCCACCAACGCCTCATTGATATTCTATACCCAACTGCACAAACAATAGATTCCTTAATGCAACTTGACCTTCCTGCTGGAGTTGATGTGGAGGTCAAACTGTGAAGAAGCAGGGCAGCAGCTTAGGTATTTTTATTTATCAGCTTCTGAAGGTTTGCTTCCTTCTAGTACATTATCATCCCTCACGTTTGAATAGAAATATTATACATAAATGATTAAAGTTGGAATGCAGGTTCATATATGTAAGTCGATAAAAATCTTTTTCTTTGTGTTTTTTTTTTAACCAATGTTCATCCAAAGAAAGTTAGCACCTTTATCAATTCTATACTGGAATGGATCTACTTCCTTTCACTTTTTTCAATTATGGTGGAGGGTTTTAATAGTTTTCACATGACCTGTTTCTGGTCAAGCTTTGGGAGTAATAAACTGATGTAACTATTTTTAGTGCTGTAGCTCTGTTTTACTTGCTCATTCTGTTAAGGTAGATGTTCGTGTTCTTGTATGGCTTACAATTTAACGGTTCCTGCTTCATTTATATTTTCCTGCGTTAATTTGATTTTTGATGACTATGTTCATTTCATGCTTGCTTTTACAATTTTCGATTACCACATTCGTTGTGATTCATATCCTTGATGCGTGTCATCCTGCTGTTTTCATTGCAAGCAAACTTATTGTTTTTATCATGGTTTATGTTGGGGGGTGTCAAATATGTACCTTTCTTGTATATTTTGCTATCTTCCTGTGTTTGAACTTTTTTTGTTGGCCTTTAAAATGTACTAAACGTACTTTTCCACGTCAGGTGTTGAATTTCTTCGAAGAACATGTGAAAGAGAATACAAAGGTTCACGTTCATTTTGTAGAGGGTGAATGACTGCAGGATTACGTTTATCGAATGCATTTTGACCCTTTCCAGAAATTCATTTCTTTTGTGTATGTTGTAAGCAATTGTAAGCAATTTCTGCCCTTGGATCTCAAGTTGAAGAATAGAGATAAAGAGTTCCTCTTTTGACATTATTTTATATCGTTGTAGTTGCATATTACTTTTCTCTTTGAGGTAGTCATGTTAGAATTGTATCAACTTCCTAAACATGCAATGTCATTACCATATTAGTTCCGCATTGTGTATCTTTTCGATTATTCTACATGTCTAGGCATCATTTCACTTTTGTGGTAGCTCCGTTGAGAAATTCTGTTGTTAATGTGTCAATTGGAGATGACAAGGAAAAAAATTGTGTAGGCTTGTGGATAATATCGTTTTCGAAGTGAAGAATCTAAACCCCCAGAAAGCACAGCTTGTGCAGCTGATTCTGGCAGTTTTGAACTAGTTTGGTCATCCGAATCCAAACTTATGGGCCAAATTCTTGTCGTACTTTCGTTAATGCCGCTGGAATCCTATTACTTGTTCTATAGTAGTGGGAGTTAATATACCAGTCCAAGCCATATTTCAGTCTCAGCTTAATCCTGTTTCAACAATTCTGCTATGAAGTACTTGAAATTTTACAGACCCCGTTCTACAGAGAACATTTTCGACGATATAGGTACAAACGATGAAGATGATGTCTGTTGAAATTTTTTGACCATGCAGGTTTCCGCTCTCATTTGACTCCTCGTACTCATTACGAAGGAGATGCGAAGAGAGATTATATATGGCCGAAAATGAGAGCCGAAATTTGCATGGTCTTTGATCAAGAACTGAACTTGTCTAGCTATTATTTTGCTTCAATTTTGGCTCACGATTTTTCAGAAAGCGCACGGGCGCATCCCCTTGGCGATTAAACTGAACAATTCCGGCCTGCTTTCGTATATCCTCCGTGATATTTTTGTTGCCGTTGTTAGTGAATGACTGAATGTCAGAGTGAGATTGGGGGAGAGTCGATGAAATCTTTTTCTCTTTAGGTGCAAATGGAATCCACATTTTAAGAACTTGGTAATCGTTATAATCGTGAAAGAGTAATGCTATATTTATCATATATTTATATTATTATTTGTACTACCTCGCTAATAGATTTGGGTTCATCAATATATGTGGATCTTATCTTTATAATCATAACATTTTTTTATCTAAAAAAGAGTGATTTATAATAAAAAATAAAATATATTTGATTTCGTTTTCGTTTTCGTTTTTTTTTTTCTTTAAAGATGGGGGCAAGATAAGAAGGAACGCGGAGAATGGGAGGTTTGACTATGGAGTGAGAGGACAAGGCAAGTACTCTTTGGCCCCACTTCGTGAGGATCCCATCTGGATCCAAATGGTAAGGATCTAAAAATCTTTATATCCTAATCGTTAATCGTATATCGTGCAGTCAGTTTTCATCAAGTACTATTTGGATGAAATCCAAATCCGTCTAATATGCTACTCCGAAGAAAATGGCGAACTACAATATTACATTAGTTTAAGTGGGTTTTATACTTGTATATATAAGAATCAAACAACTTAAATTTAGTACTTATAATATTATTGCTATACTAGTGTAAGTTAAGTTATTGATGTTATTAAACTCATGAGTTTAATATACTTGTAGCGCATTCAAATTTTTCGGCTTACTATAAGAGTATGATCTTATATTAGTATCATACTCACTTTTTCCAACCTACCATGGAAGGCCATAGGCTTTGATTTGATTTAAGTTTTGGGGGCTTCGTTAGGAGAGCATGTTTAATCTTTGATCTCTAATATTAAAAAGCCAGAATCCCACTTTTGTGTCTCAAAGTTTCACAAAAAATAATTGGACCAAAAAATACCTATAAAAAAAAAATTCAAAACTTAACAAAAAAATTATTGGACCAAAAAAGACCTTAAACAACTATACTTTTGACTGGCATCTTTCTTTGTTCCAACTTCTTTCTCGCCTAATGAGTGGCATATTTAATTGTATTTAAATCTTACATCACTCAACCATAAGATATTTTTTATTTGTCATTACTGATAATTTATCACATGATTTATGTTCCTAGCATTGTTCAGGATATTGTCTTAATCATTAATTGTTTTCAATGAACACATGTATAAAATGGTAAGAGATATCTGCTTCTGTAATAAAGTTATCATTGACAAGTACAAATTGTGAAAATTAATATTGGATTATGTATGTCACGTGTAAGGTGCCGTGATTGAAAAATAAATAAATAAAATCTTTTGCATGCACGAGAGCTTGTCTAGGAAGACTATTTTTAATGACGTGAGTTTGTAGTTGTTTGTGTGCATTTGATCACATATAATTTTACTTTTTTGGGTTTGCCACTTTTATTACCCTATTGGGCAAGTTTTACTTAAATACGAGTAAGTCGATCTCATCCTGATAAACGCAGAGTTCTACTCTTTGAATCCTACTCGACCTCAGTATGATAAAAGGCACCACCGTTGCACTGACTCTGGACCATCAGATGCTCAATTCAGTCACCCTGATGAATGTATTAGACTCAAACAAGTAGTTAGCGTTGTAGTGGCAACGCACTTTTGAATGTGCAAGAAGAGGAGTATTTATACGTGATCAGAGTCCTTGTAGGTGTTGTAAACCTTGAAAGATTATTCTTTACCCATATTTGCATTCTACTTGCTTGAATAAATGATATTATCTACACTAAGTGGGAGGGGGTGAGCTTGGCCTCATAATGAGCTAGCAATAATGTGGTTCAAATTCACTTTTGACGAAAATTGAACCTATAACCTCTTACTTACAAGTGAAAATGAAAATTTGAACTGTTAATATGTGACAAATTCTGCAAGCACTCCATGTGATATTGCCAAGATTCCGGTTAACAAAAAAATTTAATAAACATTAAGATCATAGGGTAACCAAAAAAACAAAAAAAATAGAGCTATTCCAATAATTGAGGATCTGCTCCTGACCAAAATAATAAAGAACAAGGATTTAGAGGGTGCGCTAAAATTAACATATTTCGTTTGTTTTGAATTTTGAATGCAATAGAATATATTTATAGGGTTTGTTTAGAAGTAATTAAAAATGTTGAAAGTGTTTATTAATAAGGCTTATTATATTAGCATCCCAAATATTGTTGAATACACCCCACATTTGTTTTTTCAATTGAAAGTTATCTTAATAAACCCCACATTCTTTTATTTAATACCCTCACACCCCACACTCTCAACATACACCCCGTATTTTTTTACCTACACTCCAGTTCACATTTAAGTGCAAATACATATTTCATGTTTTTTCTTTTATAAATTTTTTACTCAATGAAACCGGATTGAAGAAGAATGTGGGGTTGATAGAACGCCTCCATGAATCATTGGGTTGAAGAATTTCATTGTATGTACAAAACAACCAATCATATGTGCATCTGCGAGAGCTTTCGATATCACAACCAAAGAGGCGAGTAGCTGCCAAAGAGGCGAGTAGCTTGACTTGGACGCTCCTCTCCTTCCCTTCCTGTTTGGGTGTAATTTGAAACGTCATAACGAGAATCCACAAGTTCTGAGTCCTCTCTATGAAAATCGTCAAAACAAGGCAGATTTGTTGATTTCATACGGAGATGAAGCTGTAGTGGTATGGTGAATGAAAATCAGGAGGCTATTGATTAATATCTCTAGCCTTTATAGTTGTGATCAACGTGTTTGCAGTTCCATTGATTTAGGTTTTGTTCTACAATAGAGGATGAGATTGGTTTTGATAGTTGAAGAAAAATAACTGCAAGATATACATGTTAAAGTTGTGATTTGAGGTGTATTTAGATTTTTTATTTAACTTTATGAGGTTAAAATTGTCATTGCATATTAGATATATAAGTCATTTAATATTGAATTTTAATGTGGGATGTATTCAACATTATGTAGGGTGCTAATAAAAAAAATCTTTTAATAAAATTATTTTTAGAACTATAATTTTTAGTAAAAATGCAAGTGAGTCTTGAAAAAGCACTTAATGCTTTTGAAACTTAAAAATATTTTCTCTAAAATCGCATTTAGTTATCTTAAAAGTAATTCCAAACGATTCGTTGAGACTAATCTTCTAAATGGACCAACAATAATAAATTGTTATCGACCTCGCTGTTAGTAACATTTAAATTTAATAATTGTCATTTACAAAGAAGAATAATGCTAATAGAAAAGTAGTTACAAATAGCTTCTATCGGCTATTTCTACAATTGTTTTTATAAACAAAAATTGTTTGAGTAGTGATGCTAACTTTTAGGAAGTTCTTTTAAATTATTAAAAGCACATTTAGATTTTTTTTTTTATAACCAATTCTTTGTAAAAATGTAAATTTATTTAGGAAAAGTACTTGAAATGACTACAATAAGAAGAACAAGTTATGTACTTCCTGGATGAAGCACTTCAAGCAGTGGTGGAGCCAGAATTTTAACCTAGGAAAAGCCAAAAGTCTTAATCTGAAACGCTATCATGATCTTACAAATTTATTCTGTTGTGTGGTGAGCAACCAATCCCCATTGTTTGAGTCTAGTATGATGTTGTCATCATCATCCTCTACTTAAACCTAAACCCCAAGCCTCTCTTTCTTCCTCTCTCCCTCAACTGATCCAAGACCAGAGTCCTCCTTAAAGCTCCTAAGCAACAGATTACCTGAACTCTATAGAAGCCACCAATCTCAAATCAAACCCGATGAAAAGAGATAAAGTAAAAACGTCGAATTGCAGTCCTGAGTATATGGAAAAGCTTTGAAAATGTAAATCTTTCTGTGTAAAAATAAAAATTTAAGATAGGTCTAGAATCATCCTAGTCCCTTCATGAACCTGCCTCGAACTTCAATTTCTTTTGAAACTCAAAAAATATTTTTCAAAAAGCTAAGCATTAATAAGTTAACAATTATTAATTGTTAATAAAAAGAGAATAGTTGAATATTAGCTCACACTAGAATGCATAAATATGATTATTCTTTGCTCTTATTTTCTTTGAAGCTAATCATTGGTCTAAAAAGGATACGTGACCTAATTTTTAACGACAAAAACAGTAATTGAAGGGGATTATTAGACCTGGCATTCGTGTCGTGTTTCTCGTGTTCGTGTCATACCCGATATCTTAATGGGTCGTGTCGTGTAACATCTGTTAAAATAAACGGGTAAAATGACTCGACCTAATAATATTAACAGGTAATATGACCCGACCAGTTACCCGTTAAGAAATATATTTTT